CCATCCTGCTTCATCCATCCTGCTTCATCCATCCTGCTTCATCCATCCTGTTTCATCCATCCTGCTTCATCCATCCTGCTTCATTCATCCTGTTTCATCCATCCTGTTTCATCCATCCTGCTTCATCCATCCTGTTTCATTCATCTTGTTTCATCCATCCTACTTCATTCATCTTGTTTCATCTATCCTGATTCATCCATCCTGTTTCATTCATCTTGTTTCATCCATCCTGCTTCATCCATCCTGTTTCATTCATCTTGTTTCATCCATCCTACTTCATTCATCTTGTTTCATCTATCCTGATTCATCCATCCTGCTCCATCCCTCCTTCTTCATCCATCCTGCTTCGTCCTTCCTGCTTCATCCATCCTGCTTCATTCGTCCTGCCTCATGAGTTTCTGTGTGTTTTCTTCTTTGATTATTTTAAATCTGTCATGTTGATTCTGTCTAAAAACTCGATGTTTGACTAAACTGAGAATCTGAACATGAGACTCGAAGGATTTCTCCAACAGAAAGTTTTTGCTCAGGTTTGAGCCGGAGATGTTGATGAAGGTTTGAACCAGCCCTAACCTGAAACAGGTCCTCCGTTCACCTTGATTTAGTATTTCATTGTTTCTGATTATGTTCAGTGTTTTTATTTTTTTATTCCTGATGCTGTAATTATATCTTATTATTTTCTATTTGAGGTTGTGATGTTTTTGTTAATCACTTTGGTAACAGTTCTTGTTTTAAATGTGTGTGTGTGTGTGTGTGTGTGTGTGCGTGTGTAAAGACCTCTCACCTGACAGTGATGCAGTTAAATTAAGATTATTTGTCCTTTTCACAACAAGCTCTTTGAACGGTTCAGTCCATGACTCTGACGGCTTCCAGAACTGAAGAAATCTTCTCCTGCAGACGTTTTCATCAGATGATTCATCAACAAAGAGCTCTGAGGTGGACTGGAGGAGGAGCTGGACCTGCTCCAGTCCTGGAGTTCTGCAGAACACGGGAGGCAGGTTCCAGCCAGAACTGTTCAGCTGCTCTCAGGTTCTGTTAGACCCATCTGAGATCAGACCTGAGAGCAGTCTGTGACCACCAGGATCCCTGCGGACACGTGCACGCTCCCAGGATGCACGCTGGCTGCTGAAGCGAGTCTTCAGAAGTCAAACCTAAAATAACTCAGAACCGGAGAACGTTTGAAAATTATGACGAACAAAAATCCATTTGAACTAAAGAGGCTGCTGCGCCTGCAGGAAGCTGTTGGCCTGCGGACCGACCCGAAGCTGCTGTTCAGAACCAGCAGAGACACCAGAACCAGCAGACAAACCAGAACCAGCAGAGACACCAGAACCAGCAGACACACCAGAACCAGCAGTGGCACCAGAACCAGCAGAGACACCAGAACCAGCAGACACACCAGAACCAGCAGAGACACCAGAACCAGCAGA